GTGTGTGTGTGTGTGTGTGTGTGTGTGTGTGTGTGTGTGTGTGTGTGTGTGTGTGTGTGTGTGTGTGCATGCGTGCGTGCGTGCAAAGGTAATAGGTAATAATAGAATTGTAAAAACAAGATATTCTTTGTATACGAAAAAATTGATGACCTTAAAAAGGTCGTTTGTAGTTTCTGCAGTTTTTTCTTTGGTTTTCTTTGGCAGTAAAACTATAGAGAGTAGCTTGTTCAATTCCTCGTCATTGCGAATAGCCAGTTGTAGATATCTAGGAATGAGTCTTTTTGTCTTCTTGTCTTTGTTGTCGCGAGCGGCATGTCCCGCCAATTCCAATACTTCAGCAGCAAGATATTCCAGCTAGATAAACCGAAGCACCAGCACCGACATGCTCGGCGTAATTTCCTTTTCGCAGACACTTATAGATATCCATCCAATGAGGACCGCAATCCAGCATGATTGGAACGGGACTTTCATCTTTCCCTTAACTTTACCACCTTTGCATGACCAGACATATTTATTATCGTTAAAGAACGACGTGAAACATATGATACTTGACTCGTTGTATCTTTTGATGACCCACCTCCACTATTTATACTGCATCACGATAACTACGTGCGTCCAATGGCGTGACAGATTGGTGACGGTGTTACGTGTTACGTGATTGGTGCGCCGTTACTATCGCTTTACTGTGTACAAAAACTACATTATCTAAACAACTTTTTTTTTCTTGTATTCTATTTCAACATTTTTAAGATTTTGTTTTATTTCATAATTTATTCTGGAATTAACATTGAATATGATTTTTACAGATAAAAAATTCGTTATTCCTATAACTGCAGACTGTTGATTTATTGAATTAAAAGAACTTATTACAAATATACGAATTTTTTGGGAACTGCACTTTATAAAATCTAAAAAAAAGTATTACATATGTATTTTGATGTCTTTTTAATCAGCAGTTTTTAGAAAATTAAATATTGCTATCCGAAATGAATAAAAAATTAAAAAATCAATACTCATAAATATGAAATTTTACTGTAATATATTATAAGACCGTGTATGTGCGCGCGCGCGCGCGCGCGTGTGTGTGTGTGTGTGTGTTGTGATATGATAACACAATTATAGATTAAAGAGAATCAAAGTCTTAAACGACTACATACATAGTATATATTAATATAAATTCACATAAGAATCATACAAGCATTAAGGTCTAACTAGATCATTTAAGACTTTGATAAAGTTTTATGTTTCGCTGCATAGATCGATCAGAATATTTAAGAATTTCCGATGATAAAACGGATAATTTCAATGAATTTTTTTTATTCATGTATGATAATTTATCATAAAAAAATTATACACTGCAGAAAATCCCATTTAGTTGAATAAACTATTCTCTTATTTAGATATGAGTACGGTGATCATATTTTCTTAAATAAAATAAAGGACAAATCTAAAAATTTTAGGGCTTTGTTTCTACATGTTTTAAAAGAACCAGTTTGAAAAGAATGTCAAGAATCTGTGCATTATAAAATGTTATTGCACAGTATAATTAAATTGAGATAATGCGTACTTTTCTGAATTTAAAACTGGTTCGACTGTATTGGAATAAACCCTTGATCTGAAATAATAAAAGATTCGAAGTAATAAAAAATGAGAACAACTCTAGTTTAAATGAATTTAAAATATTTTCCACAAAGTAAAACTTTGTTCATTAATATAATATTATAGACATTGAAACGCTATAGTTAGAAAAAAATTTCCCGTAATGTCAAAATAAAGAACAATAAAGAACAATATTAAAAAATAAAGGACAAGATTGAATTTTGAAGAAACAAATAAATCTAAAGAACAGCTACCTAGAAAAGGACTTTACAATAAAGAACGTAGATATGGCCACTGTAGATATGAATAAATAAATCCTTGATTAATTCAATCAAATGGAATTCTCCATTAAAAGTAAATGTAGTGTAATTTATCGTTTCACACGAATAAGCATCTCGGACAACACATACCTGAAAGATTTCATAAAAATACAGTATAAAGATATTTTTTAGACATATGTAAATTTTCTTGACTAGAATTAAATTAATTTTTAATAATTAAGAATATAAAATATATACAAAGCTAAATAACTATGGAAATGATCTTTTATTTGTCTTAATTATGAAATCTTAACATAAATATACGATTTTTTTTATTGCATTTTTATTGCATGCGCATGATGGAATGCAGTTAAATAAGTCATGAATAATTTATTATTTAAAAATTCTATAATTATAATAGATTCTAAAAAACCTATAATAAATCTAATTAATTTGAATCAATCGGCAGCAAAGCAAAAGTTTTAACTATAATTGTTTTTAACCTAATTTTCTTTTCATGAAAAAAATATTACAATTCTTTATATAACAGAATTATGTACTACTTAATAAATGATTTTTTCCATCACTTTTCATTTTTACTTTAATTATATAATTGCTTCCTTTATTTTCATCGGTCATATTTAATTTTCTACAGAAAAAAATTTGTTTTCTCTTTCTAATTTCATAAACAATTTAACTTTTTTATTTTTTTTACAAATTGATGTACTTGTCATCGTCATAGACTTCATTTTACGCTATTTATTAAGGACCTTAACTCTAAACGTTATAATTAATTACACATAAATTACGCGTCATTAATTATATTCATTCGAATTGATAATAAACAATTTTTATTCTTGCACAAAATACCGCAAATAAATTCTCATTAGCCCTTCTTTGTTTTTACAAGAATTATTACTTGTTTTATTTGCTTTATCTAAATATCAAGCATATCTATTGACAATACATTTCAGTTATAATTTTTATATAATTTATTGATGTAAGTTTGCGATAAAGTCACCGATTAATTAATATAATATATTAGTTAAATTTTGATCAAAAATAAGGTAAATGCTACACTATTTTAATCTTATATAACATTAATTATTAAAAAATTATATTTTTATTTATAAAATATGAATAAACTTATTATATACGATTCAATTGATTCTTGCTATGAAAAACAAAAATCGGCGAATCGCAATATATATTGCAAAACAATAACTGATTTTGATTTAAACAAATATTGAATTAAAAACTCTTAATTATTCTCTGTAGAGTCTATAGTGAAGGACGCATGTCAAAACGCATGTCATATGAATTTACGAAGGTAGGCTAGGTCAAGGTGATTTCGTAGTGTAATTTGAATATTTCACTTCGTTGAATTATTTTCACTAAAAATAGACATCATTAACGTTTGCTTTATAAACGTTATATTACATCAGTTTTATATTTTAGTTTGTATAACATTTTTACATTTCTAGAAAAACACATGTTTATAATTTATTTTAGAGGTTATCTCTAAAATTATTATCAGAAATGTCCATTTTCGGAAATATCATTTTATCAATTTTTTATAATTTTATTAATACTTGTATAATAATTATTATATATAAATTTACGTAACGTGAAGTGTAAAAGTATCTTTGACATGTGTGTGTGACATAAAAATTAATAATAAAGTGTGTTTGATTTTACTGTTATATGAAATTCAATTCAGTAATAACAGATGCATGCTAATCTCTTTTTTGACATTTCTTTTAATAACTAATTTTTACTTCTTTTATTTTTTCTTATTTATATTTACAGATTGTTAGATATATTATTGATAATAAAATGGCGCCCAAGAATACTAATTATATTGTTTGGATTGATATGGAGGTATTGAAACATTATAAAACACCTATATACATAATATAATTATAATCAAGAGTAATAAAAAAAATTAATTTAGAAACATAAATCAATTACATGATATTTTTATAGATGACTGGACTTGATGTAGATAAAGATCATATATTAGAAATTGCCTGTGTTGTAACAGATAAGAAATTAAATAATGTTAGCGAGGAATTAAATATTGTAATACATCAGTCAGACGCAATATTAGAAAATATGAATGACTGGTGTAAAGAAACTCACACAAAGGTAAACTTTTAACTTATATGGATGTTAATATTTTTGAATTTTAGCATTTGCAAATTGATATATTTTGAGCTTTATAATTTAATTATTATATATTTCAGACAGGATTAGTTGAAAACTCTCGCTCAAGTACCATATCATTAGAAGAGGCTGAGAAGATGGTACTTGACTTTTTAAAAAAGCATATTCATGAACGTTCATGTCCATTGGCTGGAAGTTCGGTGTACATGGATCGTTTTTTTCTATATAAGAATATGCCATTAGTTAATAATTACTTGCACTACAGAATTATTGATGTTAGTACAATTAAGGAAATTGCTAGGTAAGAATAAGTTGCTTCTATTTTTATATAAACAAATAGAAATGCTGATATTTTTTTTCTTATGCAATGTAAACGATTAAATAGGAATCTGTCTTGCAATTGATGTTTAAAGCAATTTTAACAAAAAAATATGATACTATGAATAAACCATCATAATTTTTAGGAGATGGAATCCAAATGTATATAATTCGGCACCAAAAAAGAGAATAAATCATAGGGCTCTGGATGATATAAAAGAAAGCATTAATGAGCTAAAGCATTATAAAAAACATTTCTTTAAACTTTTATAATTTAATAGTAATATTTAGTATATTGTATTTAATTTAGATAAGGTAATTAATATTAATTAGTAACACTTACTTAGACTTAAGTTGTAGACGTAAGTAACGCATAAGCTTTGATATAGGACTTATTGCCGTCTCTTGGAGATATGTCCTATGTACGCCTATATACGCCAAAGTCTAAGTAAGTGTTACGATAATTCTTGTGCTCAGCCCCTATAACTCTTCATCTTTTTTTTAGGGTAACAATATTAACGAAATTCCTGAAATAATAAATTCAATAAATAAATTCAATAAATAAATGATAGGCAATTGGGAATTGGTGCTGTAGATGATGCGCAATTTTGCTTTAAAAAAACTTTATCTCAATAATAAGAAAATAATTAGTACATGTTTTGGCTAATTTTTTAGCCTTCTTCAACAAAACAACATAAAAAATTATTATACAGTAAAATATTTATCCCGTTGCAATTGAGAGGCAGTAATCATTCTGAAGCAAATTCCTCAGTTGAAAGGGTGGATGATAGTGAATGACTAAGAATCTCACAATGATGTAACTGATGATTAGAATAATGATAAATTTTGATATATCATAAATTTAATAATAATTATAATACAATTAAAAACATGGTCAATGAATAAAAACATATTGAAATTTAAAAAAATCCATATCATTATAAAAATCATGAATAATTTAACAATAAAAGGACAGTTCGATGTGAATGTATAGCAATGTATTCAAATATAGATGGATACCAATTTATACTGTAATAATTTTTTATATTATTTTAAGAAAACTAAAAGATTAATCGAAATATGTATACTAAATATTGAAATAAAACAAAATCATCTATAACGCTAATTCTCAATTGCCTGTTGTCATTTGTTTATTTATTGAATGCAAGAATCTTTTCCACCAATATAAGATTAATCTCAGAATCTCAGAATTAAAAAAATTAAGTCTAAATTAAATCGAGATTAAAGTTAATCTTATATTAGTAGAACTGGACTTAAGTAATTAGAAAAAGATAAAGAGTTGAATCGAGAATTGATTAAAATGGATTGAAATTTTTATGCATATTTTATGTCCAATCGAATCCAATTGAATAAAAAAACTTTTTATTGAATTCAATTAGATTTAATTAAATTGAAAAACTGTATTTCGTATTCAGAATTTTGAATTGAGTAATATATATGCATAGAAGATGTGAAGATGACAGTAGATGCATAGAAAAAGCTGCTGACATTATTTTTAGATTGAAAGGCATAGAAATGTATTTCATACAATTCCTATAAATGAATAAAAATGCATTTAGATTGAAAAGGATTTATTTTAATATTTCCGCGAATGCATATTTCTAAAAATCTGAATTCATTATTCTCGTTTGGGAAGTTAATTGTATGTTGAAAATAGGTATTACGAATACCTGGAGATTAGATTTACGAATCGCGTTGTGAATAAATGTATATGAATATAATATAAATTAAGAATTATTTTTCAATGGACATAATAAAATAATAATATCAATAATAATATCAATAAAACGTAGCATAAATTATTTTTATACGCATATCTGCACAAAATTGAAGCTTCGATTCCACAAAAATAAAATTAACTTTAATTTCGGTTTTAATTTTCTATCTATCTTTTTCTAATTCTTGGCAATAGAAAAAGAATAAATAATAAGTTAAATTTAAAATTAAAATATTAAAATTAATTCTACATTTGTAAACCGGGCCTTACAGAGCGGCATAGTATGTGTCAATCAATAAGCGCGCTGGAAACTGAGTACAACGAATCTGTTTACATGACGCGATAACAGCGTTGTCCACGCTCCTGAAAAGTTGCGCTCAGTTTGAACTGCTCACAAATAATTTAAATATTATATCATCATTCTGTTTTTATCGTTTATTATCAAATAAACAAGAATAGAAACACTGGAAATGTTTAAATTGAACGAATTAAATTCATATGATTGGTTATCGTCAAAAAACGCAAAATGATAGCTGCGTTCAGCAGAAAAATCAGCTTGACAATTGTAAAAAATTTTTTGATGTGAAAATTTTTTGCCCTTAGTTTCTCGTTGGATCTAAATGTATGAATCAATCATAAACTATGTTTATACAGCAGGTTTAATAATATCCGTAATTATTAAATTAAACAAGCCTAATATATACATTGGTCTTAATTCTAAAATTCAGCCAATGGAATACAAATTTCAGTTAGGATCAATCAGGACTAGCAACCCTATTGGCTGAATTTTAGAATTTTAGAGAAGATTGAAGCATAAACCAATCAATAGTCATTCGCTATTCCTCTGAAGGATAGAATGAACTGTGATTGATCAGTTGCATAACTATAATCTTTCAGTTTTCTTAAAATAATATAAAAAATTATTACAGTATAAATTGATATCCATCTACATTTGAATACATTGCATGATTTGTATTGTCCTTTTATTGTTAAATTATTCATGATTTTGACAATATATGGAATACCTTTTTATTAAATACAACTGTACTCAACAGTTGTAGTTCACGTTGACAAAGCAGCTAGTCTGCTCGCCGAACAAATGAATATGATTGGTTGTTACTTATAGATCCAACAAATCACATTCAATCGTTCGGCATGCAGGCTAGCAGCTTTGTCCGGTTTGAACACGTCCAATTCGCCCAATGTGATTTGCACATCGTCACCTGGCGGCAATCACGCGAAACATCTGAATTTAAATTTTTCAACGGATGTAGCGTGGCTCATTTCTGGCGTGTGGCGTTTATAAACAGTAAATGAACGCGAAATAAAACGCAAAATCGTTCAGTTGATGAATATAAAATCATAACTAGCCGTGTTGTGTTGTAGTGATAAATAATATTGTGCAACAAATCATCCAAAATGAATGATACACGTAACGTGAAGAAAGAGAAGAATCAGCATATACAAGTTTTCGTGCGTGTTAGGTAGGTAATAATAATTATTTGTGTTGCTGACACATTATTGCGTGTATTATTGAGGAAATTGAAACTCTGTACATAATTAGAGGCTTAAAATTGTCTTAAAAAATTTTTTTTAATCTTTGTTTCCTTGTTTCCCAATTTTAATTAAAACAATTTTAATTAAATAAATATTAGCTATATTCATTTTTGTAATCTTTATTTTCTATTAATATTGGCTTGTTATTTTTATGAAACAACTTTTTTCAATAGACCAATAAATCACAGTGAGAAAATTGGAAAATCTATTTCGGTATTGGAATTGCCAACTAACAAAGAAGTAGTGGTGCATGAAAGGATACAAGGCAGTCATTCAAAAAAATTCACATTTGACAAAGTATTTGGACCTGCATCAAAACAGGTAGAGACAATATGATGTTTCTTTGTATTGTATAAAAAAATAAAATTTTTTTTATCTTAAATGTTACTTTGAAGAAATATTTGTTTTAAAAAAGATTATAATTTTTAGATAGATGTTTATAATACAGTTGTTAATCCTTTGCTTGATGAAGTATTGGCTGGATATAATTGTACAGTTTTTGCTTATGGCCAAACTGGAACTGGAAAAACATTTACTATGGAAGGTGTTAGCAATGATCCATCATTACATTGGCAAAGTGTAAGTTATTTAAAAA